CAGTACCGTGTGCACTAGCTTCCTTTCGTAGTAGCCATCTTGCCATCTATGGTATGCATGGCCACCACGAATACAAAGCCCGCTACAGTCAAAGGCTCTGAAGGAGCAGAGCTTAAGGGTGCCTTGGTCCTCGTGGAGAATGCCTCGTGAATGTCCATGTTAAAGACGGGCAGGAAAGGCCAGAGCCAAGAACAGGGTGCAGGCACATAGATAAAGGCAGCACACGTCTGAAGCATGTGTGCCTCACAGATAAAAAACAGGCGTGAGATCATATAACCTGTGACACTAACGTAAAAAAAGCAAGGCCACGGGGAGGCAAAAGAACACGATCGTCAGTGCCATATTCTTGTCACTGGAGTTCCAAGGGAAAAGAGTGCACAGAGGCCGACACGGAGAGAAGGCAGACAGCCCCACACCTGTGGTCCAGCAGGAGGTAGTAGGGAGACTTGTGCAGATTACTTGGGTTTCTTGGCCCCAGGCTCGGGGGTCTCCACCGGCTGCTTCGCGGCGCCTTGCCTGCCCTCCTTTCCTTTCTCGCCACGGGCCCCTTCACTCATAAGGTAGTACTGCAGGGGGTTGGGCCACAGCTCCTCATTGATAATCTCAACAATCTTGTCGGACTCAATAGAGGTGTGGTTTGAAAACCACCCGAAGAAGCTAGGGCTGTTGTCTGGGCTCCCCTGGCTTAGGGACTGGAGATCGTGTCCCGGGAGCCACTGGATTGGAGTCGAACGAGACACCACCTGGCCTGAAGGGCCACACCCATATTCCTTGATGAGCACCTTGTTTTGGAAATAGGGGTTGCGCTCGAAGTAGAACTTGATTTTGTAGCCCAGCCTGGCGAGGCCGAGCTCTTCCACCTCCAGGCTGTTCAAGTAGCTGAGCACTTCTTTATCTTTGCTGTTCAGGAAGGATGAGAGCTGGGGGTGGTTCTGCAAAGCCTGCCCCCAGAAGCCCGGGACGCTCTGGATGAGCAGGTTCCTGCGCTCTAAGTGGTGCAGCCGCAACTGCCCAAACTTGCGCGAGAGGCGAAGGTAGGCCCTGTCGGCCTGGGCGTTCATGGTCTCCAGCTTCTGCTGGACCGTCTCCAGCGTATCCATGCTGCCGTCCGTCGCCGGGGTCCCTGCCCCTGCATCCTTCTCCGCCTTCTGTTCCTCTTCCTCTGGGACAGACGCATCCTCCCCAGCGGGGTCCCTCTTGGGCTTCCCCCCTGGGGCCTTCTTCCCAGCGAGCCCACGCAGATTTCGAACGCGGGGGCCGTTTCTCAGCCTCCCCACGGTTCCCACGGTTCCGACGAAGACAGTGTCCGCCGCCAGGCGCTCCGAGAGGGACGTGGCCTTCCCCAGGCCGAGCCTGGACGCAGCCTGCCCGCGCTCCCCCGCCGCGCGCAGCGCGAGGCCGCAGTCCAGCGGGAGCTGGGAGGCGTCCTCCTCCGGCCCCGGGAGCTGGAGCGCGGCGCTTTCCAGGCCGCCCCACCCCGCGCCAGCCTGCACCTGTGCCGCCGGGGGCTCCTCCCCGAGCCGCTGGCCCTGCGGAGGGTCC